TGAAGTTTTTTTCATTCTTGAATCATTTTGCTCCATATGATATTGTATAAATATGGAAAGTACTTAACTTACTAAATCACATAACTGTGATTTCGTGTTGGTATAGAGATACTCTTCAGCTTGCAAATATGATGGAAGCTGTGAAGAATAATAAATATACTTTCTTCCCATTAAAAGTCACCAGCCTGGGGTTGGGGCTATAGCTCATTTGGTAGAGTGCTTGCCTAACATGTGTGAGGCACTGGGTTTGATCCTCAGCACCACATAAAAATAAAATAAAGGTATTTAAAAAAAAGTCACCAGCTTCCTCTTGGTTTTTATATTTCTTAAATTCCATAGTTGTGGATATTCATAAGTATACATGAATTAAATCTAGTTTGCAATTTTTGCCAAAAAAAATTCTCTTTCACTATGAATTTATGTGGTTTTGTATTTTTTTTCCTCTCTATAAAAACGAAGGAAAACACCAGCATATGTGTGGGTGTTTCATTCCTACATCCCTTGGTTGTAGGAATGAAACAGTAACTATGTATAGGAATCTATAGGAACTGCTTATTCTATAAACTAGAATGTTGTTAAGGTCGGATTAGGTGGGAGTGGGACAAGAAGCTGCTCAGAACCTAACCCAAACTTTTGGAGAAGAAGCAATGTTGCACATTTTTTTGGCTTGTCTCTCCTTTCCAGTTCATCAAATCACAGTGTTGTCTTTTAAGTATTATTAATTTTTTTATTGGTTGTTCAAAACATTACAAAGCTCTTGACATATCATATTTCATACATTAGATTCAAGTGAGTTATGCACTCCCATTTTTACCCCGTATACAGATTGCAGAATCACATCGGTTACACATCCACATTTTTATATAATGCCATATTAGTAACTGTTGTATTAATAATGGTGAGTCTCACTGGGAAGTAAGCAGGACCAGCACACAGCAAACACACTACAAATATATATGCTACAGTATCAAAGAAAATCCAAATCCTAGCTGCATTCCTTCATGAATTCTGTTCCATGACACCCAAACCATAGCCTCTCTGGGAAATCAGAAGTTTCAACTATTTTGACACCTTGCCAGTGATATTTTATGTCCTAATTAAAGATAAGTAAATTCTGCCCCCACCAAATATCCAGATTTGGTTGCTACCAATTTGGTTGCAGAATTCATTCAATAGACTTTTTTTTTAATGAAATAAAAAGAATATTAGATCATTTGCCTGCATGCCTCCAGAACAGCTTGTTTTTCAGTCTGCATTCTTTTGCCCTCATCTACTGCTGATCACTGATCTCCTGTAAAAAACTTGACCTTGCCATGAGGAATCTTTGGACTCTGCAGTTGCATGAAACAAAACCCATCTCCAGCTAAGCAAATTCATCAAAACAATGCAGAGGTGGCTTTCAAGAAAGAAAAGCTGTTGGCTTTGGGGAGGGACCGGAAGGATGCTGGGAAAACATGAAGTCAGCACTTAGTTCTGTCTATTTGTCCTCCCCTCCCCCACCAGAATGCAGGGTCTCTGAAAGTGGGTCAAGGGCTTTGTGTATTGTCTGTTTTCCGTTTTTTGTGAGTTTTTTGTTCCAACTGTGTATTCCTAGCATACACGTGGCTGGCAGGTGAGATCATAATCAGCGAGTTCACAGGACACGTTCTTAAGGTGGCAGAAAAAATAGCAATGCAGAAAACTTGATCTTTGTGGACTTCTCCATTTGCTGAACTTTACTGGCTGCTCTGTGGTTTTCTCCTCAGTTAGTGGTCAAGGTGCACATGAATGATAACAGCACAAAGTCACTGATGGTGGATGAGCGACAGTTGGCCCGAGATGTTCTGGACAATCTTTTTGAAAAAACTCATTGTGACTGCAATGTGGATTGGTGTCTTTATGAAATATACCCAGAATTACAAATTGGTAAGTCCCTCCCTGGCAACGGGCTGCGCTCCAAAAGCCTTGTGGGTTTGCTTTATGGGCTCTGGTTCCTTAAATGTTTGGTTCAAGGCTTGAAGACATCGCATATGTCACAGCCGTTATGTGAGATTAGAACTTGCCTCTTCATTTCTTTGTGGCACAAAGACTTAGATTGTAGCAGGTGTCTGGACCTTGAGGGGTATAAGCATTATCATTGCCATCTTTCTCTTAGGTCCACAAGGGAAAGAATGTGGCAGGGTGATTCCTCTTGCTGCATGCCTAGTAAGCCCAGCAGCTTGTGGGAGAGCCTAGGTATCTGTCAGCTGGTGCCCCTGCAGAGGTGGCTGCCTTGGTAACTGCAGACCTCACATCTGTGCTCATTTCCCTCTTCCTCCCTCCCTGCTTGCCTAATATCTGACACTTGGTCTAATGGAAGAAGTTTAGCTCCAGAGAGGAAAGGACAATGATAGAAATTGATGATGTTTCTTTTTAAAAAAGTAATTTAAGAAATTTTCTGTTATTTCTCATTTTTATTTTTGTACCGGAGATTGAACCCAGGGTGCTTAACCACTTAACCACATCTCCAACCCATTTTAATTTTTTTTTTAAATTCCAGACTGGGTCTCACTAAGTTTCTTAGGGACTTGCTAAGTTGCTAAGGTTGGCCTTGAACTTGCAATCATCCTGCCTAAGCCTATGGAGTCACGGACATTACAGGCATGTGCCACGGAGCCTGCCTTACTTCTTGTTCTTAATAGCACTGACCTACCATTGCCTTCCAGCAGAACTGGGTGGAACCCAAAATTACCTGTTTTAGAAGTTTGGATGAAATCTTTTCTTCTTTGCAAGAAATAGTCTATACTTAAACAGTCCTTTGAAGTTTTCTTCAATTCTATGAGTCCAGAAGAGAAATGAAAGCCTTCCTTTATGTTTTGAGTTTGCTTCAGGTATTCATATACATTGTTTTTATAGTTTCAGGGAGCTAGTGCTTTAGGCTACACATTGTAAATCTCACAATTACACTCAAAGTCTTGAATAATCTTTGCCCTAATATCCTTTCCAAAAGAGAATGTTTGCCTTCTCTTAGGGCAATTTAAAGTAAAAAAAAAAAAAATAGGCTATCATAAAAAACATTAAAGCTGAACATTGTCACTGTATTGTAGGTACTGTCATTTGTAATGGGTTTTTCTTAATGGAAGATAAATTGAAAACATGCCACTAAAAGATAAACATAATAGGATTGTAACAGTGTGACATCATAAAAGAATTAATAATTGTAGAAACCTTGATGAAAACTATGAAGCACTGAATTCGATTCAATAATAGCTTGTTTCTCAGTTGAAAACCCTAATATCTTAGGTCTGAAAGAATGCTGTTTTCTTATTTCATCAGAGAGGTTGTTTGAAGATCACGAAAATGTTGTTGAAGTCTTATCAGACTGGACAAGAGACACAGAAAATAAAGTGCTATTTTTGGAGAAAGAAGAAAAATATGCTGTATTTAAAAATCCCCAGGTAAGATGGCCTGTATATTGTTAAACCATGTAAAGCATGAAGAAAACACAGGTTTTGTTCTACCTGTGTATAGACCACAGTATTATCTTGCAAAATATCACAAATATATTTTAAAAATACAAACTCAATCTTTGGCTATATAAACCAAGAACCCTTTGAAGGATTTAGAAAGGAAAACAAAATCCACTTGTTTTTCATTCAGAATCCAAAACATACCTATCTGTGGTTGTCTAACCCTCCCCTTCTGTCAGCATTTCTATTGGGCTCCACTATATCTTGATGGCACTTTTGGCTACTAATGTCTTATATTTAAAGATCCTGCCAGGCAAGGTGGTACACACGCCTGTAATCTCCCAGCAGCTTGGGAGGCTGAAGCAGAAGGATCACAAGTTCAAAGCCAACCTCAGCAAGTTAGTGAGGGCCTAAACAAGTCAGTGAGACCCTGACTCTAAATAAAACATTAAGAAGGGCTGGGGGATGTGGCTCAGTAGTTAAGTGCCCCTGAGTTCAATCCCCAGTACCAAGAAAAAAAATCCTCATATCTTTGTTGTTCATATATGTTGTTCATTGATGCCGGGATTACTAAAGGGAATACCTAGGAAATATACAATTTGTTGTGATTTCCTCCTGCAAACAACCTATACAAGAAAAAAAAAACACATTATTCTCCATACTTGAAAATGCTCCCTTCAGGTCATGTGTGCAGGTATGTTGTTGAGAAGTCTAAACCTTTTCCCACTGTGTCCTTGAGCAACTACCATGGCATGAAAGTCATTACATGTTTTAGGAAAGTCTGAGAATGTTAGAGATGGAAGAGATGCCTAGGGTCATTCCTCCAGACACTTTCCTTTTTACAGGTAAAATAAAGAAGTCCTGTCGTTAGGGGCAGAATTAAGAGACTCCAGTGCGGCTCCCTCATGGGAAAAAACTCTACTGTGCTCTTTTCTGGGGTCTTCTTGAGATGATATGATGGTCAAGTGACAACAAAGCATTAAGTACTATTGTTTGTGACAAATATCAGACACTAAAAGTACCAAGTTTTCAGCCTATAATGACCTTCAAACCAGACTTTTATTGCCTGTATTAATGAGAGTACCATCTAAGCTGTGGTGATAAAGAGACCCCTTAAACAGTGGCGCAATCAAACTAGAAGCTCATTCCTCAATCACATTCTGGTCCAGACATAGGTGGGTAGAATGGCTCTTCTGATATGTGACTCCCATCTCTGGGCCCAGTGCATCTTTTCCACTTCCCATTTTTCTAGTCCATAGGAAGAAAGGAGAGAATCAGGGAAATGCACAACCAAACTTCTGCTTAACATTCCGTCAACCCAAAGATAGCTACATGGTAACATTGAGCTACAAGAGATGCAGAGAAATGTGGTGTTTGTATGAATAACTGCACATACAGCAAAATTTGTGGAGTTAAATTCATGACTACCATTTTGGATAACTCTTCCACAAAGCACCTTTAAATAGAGTCCATAAAAATGGCACCCAGAAGTTGTGCAGCATGGTTATTGTATAGGTAAGCAGAGGAAGGAGAGAATTAGTATTAGTGGATGTCTGCCATCTGCCGAAGTGTCAAGTGAATTATTGCATCTATCATAGTCGTAACTCTATGAAATCATACGAAGTGAACATACCTGGGTAACTACCACCCACATCAAGACACAGAACATTAGTGGAGCTCCTCATGGCCCTTCCCAGTCTTTATTCCCCATTACAAGGCAACCACTATTCCAATCTTTATTATCTTGGTTTTCCCCTCTTTTTGACATTTATATGAAATGGAATCACACAGTCCTCTTTTGTGTTTAGCTTTTACCCACTCAACTTTCATTTGTGTTGTTGCTTATAACAGTAGCTCTTTTTCATTATTGTGTTTTCATTCCATTGTGTGACTATATCAGTTTATATTTATTAATTGTGTTGTTGGTGAGTGTTTGACTTGTTTCTCGTTTGGGGCTTAAACAAGTAATGCCAGTGAGAATATCTTGTACGTGTCTTTTTATTGAATGCATGTGGACATTTATCTTGCAGGTAGATAGATAGGTATGGAATTCTGGATCATAAGTTATACTTTTTTAACTTTAGCAGATACTCTGAGCAGTTTTTCATATATCCTGTGATTTGCTCTCCCTTTAACATTGTATGAAAATTCCTGTTGTTCCAGATACTTGGCAGCGCTTGGTATTGCCTTTTTTTCTCTCTCTCTTAACTTGAACCTTGCTGAGGGTGTGTAGTAGCATCTTGGTTTTTAAGATGAATTTTCTCAATGCCCATGATTCAAGTACCTTTTAAAATGTTAATTACCTATTTGAATATCCCACTTTTGTGAAAGGTCTCTTCAGGTCCTTTGTCAGCCTCTCACCTGGGGTTAAGTATCAACAAATACCCTGAGAGGAAACATGGCTCTTAGAAGGTCTAGATATCTCTTTGTGGTTCCTCTCTGTCTTGGATCTTGACTCTGTGAGTCTCTAATTGCCTCAATAGCTCTCCAAAGCCTTCATGCTGATTTAGTTGTAGATGGACCCAATACCTTTATTTTATTTATTTATCTTTATGTGGTGCTGAGGATCCAACCCAAGGCCTCACACATGCTAGACAAGTGCTCTACAACTGAGCCATAAACCCAGCCTCAACACTGATTTTTTTTTAATCCAGCTTGTCTAGATGTTTTTGTTGTTGTTGTTGTTGTTTGTGTGTGGAGTTGTGGTCTACTGTAAGCTATTCTATCATAGAAGGAAACAGAAATCCTCCTAATGAATTTTTTTGGATAATGATATAGATTAAGTAACTAGATTATTTTAATATGCAATCCGATTTAAAGACCAACACTGAATTATAGGCATTCTTAAAATAGTCAGGTTTTTTCAGTATTTGGCTGAATTCTGTCTTCTGATCAGTGCCCTGCATAGGTAGTGGCTTCAGCATGCTGACCCCCAGAGTAAGAAAAACACATTATGCTGGTTCCCATACTGATGTTACAGCCCTTAAAAAGGGAGGCTTTGTGATTTTGAAATACCTAAAAGCCCCTTGTATAAGTTCTGTAGTTGAGACCCTTTGATGATTTTTAACATATGTCTTTTTTATGGTAAATTTATGGTGAGAGTAAAAAGCCCTAGAGAAGTGTATTTCCAGAGGAAGATTTTAATACAAATACAACCAGAAAATTCTTTCATTGAAGTGCCTTAGATTTTTGTCTTCAAGCTTTGTCTCAAGCTGGTAGCTGAAAAGTCCAAATAAACCTGTATTTCATTTAGGCTGGTAATTCTTTTTTTAGATGTAATTGCCAACATTGGTATGAAATGATGAATCCTGGGATTGGAGGAGCGTAACAGGGAGCTTCTACTCCCAGGTCAGGGCCATGTCAGTGAGGATTCAGGCTTGATCTTTCTACTCAACTGCTCCAAATCGTGGCACCTCCTAGAACATATTTGAAGAGCTAGTAAGAAACGGTACATGAAGAATTGGACCTAACCAGAATCATAAAAGGAAAAGACAGCTTCTGAGTGACTTATTTAGTAGTCTCCACAGAAGTTGCCAACATATTGAACATCTTCCCCGTGTGGACCTGTATGAAGAGACTTTAATGAAATGTATTCCAATAGATATTTGTTTGACTTTCATAAACATTTATGGAAAATGTTACATGTATAACCTTGTATGGAGAATATGTAGATTAAAGTAATCTTTACCTTTGAGAAATTGAAAATCTAGCTAGAGAAACAGATGTGCAAAAATGCTTGACACAAAACTTCTAGGTTTAAGATGGAGGCCACATGGGATAGAATTACAGCATGGTATATTTTTCAGATGAAGTCCCAGTGCACAAAACTCTATGAACAGAGCAGAAGACCCTCAGTAATGGTCTATGATGAGAAGTGTAGCTTTCCAAATACTGCATTAGTTGGTAATACTCAGGAGGTTGGGGAAGGTATCAGATCAGTAAAGGAGTAAATCAAGGAAGTGGGCAATAACTAACTCCCCTGCCTTAATCCTAAGAAAAACTATATTCACCACATAGAGTCATGGTACTGTTGATGGATATGGCTTGTCCCCACTGCCCACACCCCAAGGGTCCAGGTGTTGGAAGCTTTGTCTTCAATGTAATGATGTTGGAAGGGAGAACTTTTGAGAGGCAGGACCTAATGAGAGGTCCTTGGGTTAACTAGGGGCACTGCTACTAGAGGACAATAGGGGAGTTCTCATAAAAATGAATAAAAACAGAATAAGTCCTAATTAGTTTTCCTGATGATTGCTGCTATGCCCTATCCTGTTGAAGAACAGGAATTAGTCTGGGTGCACAGATGCTGCAAGCTCCATGCTATAAGCTGTCATGGAGATGATTTGATCAGAACAGTTACTGCTCTATTTGGAATTTTTCCAAAATGAAACTGAAAACATACAGAGGTGTATCATGGAGCCAAAGACAGAAGGTAGGGCCAGGCCTCCCAGGGTCTGGGACCCTGAGGCAGTATCTTGGTCTCAGCCTTCCCTTGGGCCCCTATCTCTATCACACTCTGTCCCTGTCCACAGCTAGGTCATTGCTTTCCCTCCCTGTAGACCCCCCTTCCTCTCTTCTCTCCTCTATTCCCACCCAGCCTTTTATGACCAGCCTCACACAGTGGCTCCATCTATGAATGGAGTTCAAACTTCTGTGTTTGCATAACCTATTAAAAAAGTTTGTAAAAACCTGTACCACTCAGATATTTGCCTGTTGACTTCTAATTTTTCATCAGAAGTTTAAGCAGATGCAAAGAATGCAGTGTGCAGCATATTGTAAATTTTGCCAGTTTTAAAAAGTATCCAATCCAATTCTGGCAGTTTAAAAAAGTATCCAATGCTTACAAAAGTATTCCCATGGCAGTTTTATTTCTAACAGCATCCATTTAAGAAATGTATGAGAGTGGCTGGGGATGTGGCTCAAGCAGTAGCGCGCTCACCTGGCATAGCAAGTGTGAGGCATTGGATTCAATCCTCAGCACCACATATAAA